AATTTTACCTATTAAAATGGTGAACTATGTTTATAAACCCAATTGTAATCCATGTTTCAAATACCCGTTAAAAATCAATTAACACTTTAATTTTTAAAAAAAAAAAAAAAAAACCCAATTTTTTAATGCTATCGGTATGACTGCCACTGTCGACTGGCTCTGTGTCTTCGTTTAATATTCAACTTCAAAAAGAAAAACAATTCAGGTAATCAAACCATCAAATCAAGGTATTAAATCAGTGAAATCACAATTGTTTTTTACCATTTTAACTTTCTTACCTACTAAAAATAGTCCATTCTCTTTTTAGTTTTTTGAATTAAAGAAAGAAACACTACAGCCTCGACCCTCTATTACAGTTATCATTGAAGGGACCAGTCACCAGTCACCAGTGGACAGTGGAGTGGAGCACAAAGAGTAAGAGATACTCTCTTTCTCTTAATCTTTTTCATGGACTAATAGACAAGACCACAAATTATAAGTTTCTTTTATTTTAATTTAAATTTTTGTCTTATATTTGTTGTTAGTAAATATGTTCTACTAATAAAAATTAGTAATTTGATATAGCATCTAATTAGTGGAGGAATTAAAAGATTTAAAAACATTTTAAAGATGACAAAATGCAACTATACTTAAAATTTGAACAAGAACAACTATACAGTCTATGCTTTTAGCATCCTTTTCAATGTATTGTGTATTTAACACTTGTGATTAGGGATGTCGTGAATTAAGTTAGAATTTTTTTTTTTTTGGTTTATCATATATGTTAGTTGTTTATTATTTATTTATTTATTTATTTATTTGTTTTTTGTTTGGATCATCATCTCAATGGGAAAAAAGGAACAATTGAATCTTTTTTCAAAGGGAAAAGAGAAAAAGATTCAAGGGAAAATGAAGGGGCATAAAAAAAAATAGTTGAGAATCTTCAACAAGAGCCTACACAAGTCATCTCTAAAGAGTCTACACAAGAAGAGGATTCAAAAGTCAGTATAGATGGTTTTCTTATTGAGTGTAATCTTAGAAAACAAAAGCATATATATGAATATCTCTTGAAAGGGCAAGATTAAATTCGAAGAGCTTATCTTATTGTCGATGCATATCAACCAAAACAAGACGAGTATACAAAATTTGGACCTATACGCCATCAACATTTCTTTATGCCTTCATGGTTTACAAATTACAATAAAAATGTTTTCATCATAGTTGGAATATTCTCTTGAGAAAGATGCATCTTTTTGTCTCTATTATTTTCTGTTCTACAACCTAGGAGGAAACTCTAGAGGTGGTGGTGGACATGATGCATTCATTGTGGGGGAATTTTCAAAATGGAAGAAAGTAAGAGATGGGAAGAGATGTGCTTTCTTGAACCATGTAGGAAATGATCCCAAGTCTTCTCATAAAATCAATGAAAGAGCTTGTCAAGATTTGATGAAGCAATCTCAACACATTGAATATTTGTTTCATAAGAAGATTACACAACAAGTTTTAGACAATCAACTACGACTTCAAGCTTTAATTGATATAGTAAAATGGCTTGCAACTCAAGGTTGTGCTTTTAGAGGTCATGATGAAAGTAGCAACTTGAGCAATTGCGGGAAATTTCTTGAATTATTGAAGTTATTATTAGTTTATAATGAGAATGTTAGACTTGCCATGGAGAATGCTCCTAAAAATGCATTATATACTTCACTAGAAACTCAAAAGGAGATTTTACAAGTTTTGGCAAATAAAGTGAGAGAAAGTATTCACCAAGAGATAGCTGATGCTAAAATTTTGTATTTTGTTGATGAAGCAAGATATGAGTCAAAGAGGGAGCAAATGGCATTGATTCTAAGATTTGTTGACAAAAAAGGCTTTTTGAGAGAGTGCTTCTTTGGTGTGGTTTATGTGACAGATACATCAACTAAAACCTTAAGAGATGCTATTGTTTCTTTGCTTCATCATTATGACCTTGACATTTAGAACATTCACGATTAAGTATATGATGGTGCAACTAATATGAGAGGTGAGTTTAACGGACTTCAAGCTTTGATCAGTAAAGAATGTCCTTGTGCTTACCATATTCACTACTTAGCTCATCGTTTGCAATAAACATTAGTTGCATCATCAAAGGAGATCCTTCTCGTATATAATTTTTTTTTTTCAAACTTGACATACATTGTCAATGTTGTTGTAAATTCTTCTAAATGCAACAATGAATTGAAATCTCTTTATGCTCCTGACATTGCTTAATTGATTGAAAATAATGAGCTCGAAATTGGAAGTGGGCTTAATTAGATTGGCACTTTACAGTAACTTGATGACACTCATTGGAGTTCACATTTGAAATCTATTTCAAACATGCTAAAAATGTTTAGTGCAACTTCTATAGTTCTCAGTAAGTTGATTGAGGAAGGATCTACATCTTCTCAATGTGGAGAAGCATTTAAAGGTAATATAACACATTGAAATCTCTAGAATTTGTCTAAATTCTACATCTTAGAAGAAAATTTCGAAAGTAACTACTATATGTTTCTTTTTTTATTTGCAGGATATAATGCAATGATGTCTTTTGAGTTTATTTTTGTTTTACATCTTATGAAAGAAATCATGGAGATCACTGATATGCTTTGTCAAGATTTGCAACGTAAATCTCAATATATTTTGAATGCCTTGAATTTTGTCAAATCAACAAAGGCTCTCATTGAACAATTTAGAGAAAGTGGGTGTGAGTCTTTACTTAAAAAGGTAAATTATTTTGTAAAAATAATAATATAGATGGTCCTGACTTGCTTGCTACATATGTTGCATAAGGAGGACGTGCTCGTCATTAACAAGATATTATTACTATTGAGCACCATTATCGAGTATATATTTTTTATGCTATAATAGATTTCCAATTGCAAGAATTGAATGGCAGATTTAATGAAAATGGAATGGAACTATTGACTCTTAGTGGTGCTTTGGATCTTAGAAATGGGTGCAAGAGTTTCAATATTGATAATATTTATAGGCTTGTAGAAAAATACTATTCTCAAGATTTTTTTGAGATGGAGAAACTTCATTTGAGATAAGAGTTTCAAAATTATAAGATTAAAACAAGTTGTATCAAGGTTTTCAGAATTTGTCAAACATTTCTAAGCTATGTCAATGACTTGTGGAGATAAGAAAATTAGAGATCTACAGTTTCATTTACAAGTTAATTACTTAAGTGCTTACTCTTATTGCTTACTCTTAATGCTTACTCTTTCGGTTTCTACAACAACAACAAAAAAAGAATTTTATGTCAAGAAAATTGTGAAAACAAGGTTTCGCAACAAAATAGAGAATGAATTTTTTTCAAAATTTTTGATTATTTATATTGAAAAGAAAATTGTTCAAACATTTAGTGTAGATTTTATTATTGATAGATTTCGAAACATGAAAACTTGTTAAGTATTATTTTAATTTATGATGTAAAGGTAAATTTTTGAAATTATAATGTATTATTTTGAGATTTGAAAATTTGGTCCCCACTACCAAAATTCTTGGCTCTGCCTCGATAGAAGGAGAGAAGAGAAGAGGAGGAGGATTTTTTTTATTAGTCAGACTATATACATATTTTTCAAATTCTTAAAAAATATAATTATTTTAAAATATAAAAATTAATACTCCAGTCAAAATAATAATTTTTTTGGTAATACAAACTTTTTTTATTTATAATTTATCTCATATTAATTATGATTTTTTATATTTTAGAAGAGACTTTTTTTTTGTATTTTAAACTTATTGTTATATCTTAACTTTTAAGTGTTATAAAAATATTTTTCTTTTATCTTTATTATTATGTTTTAAAAAATAATATTAGTAATTAAGAACATAAACTTTTTGCAAATCTTTAGTTTAAAAAGAAAATAAAATAACATCTATTTTTTACAGGTGAACTTCCTAACAAAATTAGGACATATCCAATTGCTAATCTAGTAATTTTGGAGGAGTGACAGGCAAAAACTCAGCTTGTTGTCATAGTGTCACATATCATCTTACGTTGAGCAAGTATGATAATAATAGTAATTTTTAATATCCAGTCCGTCATAAGTAAACAAAAAAGGTGTCATTGCAAGCAAACCGTTTAGAATTAGATTCTGGGATCAAGATCGCCATTGATTTTACGTTGTATCTATTCTTCATTATCATCAAAATTTGCAGAAACATGCATTGAACCCACCAGGCGCTCATCTTTCTTGAAAACCAGCGTACTCTCTGCAACCCAAAATAACCCAAGTGGGAATTGATAATTTTGTATGTGAAAGTGGAAACAACTGAGCGATTTTAATTTGAGTTTGAAAGTGAAAGAAAGACCTTTGGAACTTGGAAGTGGTGGTGAACTGTTCAGGGGTTTTAGGGTTTTGGGTGGAAAAGGAAAGAAGAAAAGGGAGAGTCTTTTGGATAAAAGAAGCGACGACAAAACCGGCGCCGGTGGTTTTATGGGTCGGCAGAAGTGGGTGATGACGGAGCGGAGCGATGGAAGCAGAGCTATTTTCGCGCCTTATCTTGGCGTCTTGGATTATGTTTTACTGGCGCGCTTTGGTGCACAACGAAGGAAAAACAAACGGCGCGTTTTGCCTCACTTTATCTTATTTATTTATTTATTTATTTTGAACAATTTGTAATTATTTACGGGTTAATTGAGAAAAAGAGGAAAAGGATTCCGTAAGGTTCGAACGTATAACTCACCAAAGGTAAACAACCCTAACTCAGAATTCAATGCAACTGTACCGAAGCGAGCCATTGATTTATTTTCTTTCTTTTATTAAGAATAACTTTGAAATTTTTCATTTTAGAAAATTTGGTTTTCAATTTACCAGCGCTAACAAATGCAGCATATTATTTTTGGAGAAGACTTATTATGGTTTGCAAATATTTTATGATGATTTTATTATTATTTTTTATTAATTATTTTCATTCTTTCTTATTATGATTGATTTTTTTTCACTATTTTATTAGTAAGTATTGGGTTTGTGAAAGTTTTTTTTATACAAAAATATACAAAAAAATTTAGATTTAAAATTTCTTAATTATTATTATTATTGTATGTTTAAAATTTTAAATTATATAATAAAAAATATTTTTTATTTCAGATATAATATTTAACTTAAATTTAAAATCTTTTCTTTCAAACAAAATGAAATAACAACTAGATCCCACTATACCACAATTAATTTGTATTGGCCCTACTCCCATCCATTTTACATACATGCAATAAACACATGTAGGATCTTTATGAATCTAGCCTCTTCGTCGTCCATGTTCATACAAATAACAATATAACATTAGGAGGAGATGATAGTGTCCTTTCCCCTTTTTCGCCTTTGTAAAAGTAGAGTTACTCTGTAATCTTAGGAGTCCCTAGTTTTGCACACTGCACTACATTCCACATCCACATTGGATTCTAATTCCATGGACATTTTCGTAAGTTACACCTAATCTTATCTGCTACCTCATCCTGCACTTTCTTAGTTTGTCTTTCTTCCTGTTCTATAATTAATTATCATCATCCCAGCAATTGAACTGGACCACCTGGTCCACCTTTATGATTAACGCTGCACTT